CTGCCCATAGACATCTATCCTCGATTAAGAATTAAAATGCAGATGTGTTCCACCCTGGCATTTGGAAGATTCTACGTGTCTTCAAGGAAGGTATAGGATGAAATACTTCGTATGCATATAGTAATAAAGGTCTCCAGTTCTCTACACACACCATACGAAAAACAGCAGCATTGAGATGCTATTTTACCACCCACCCATCACCATTTACATATTTACATAATGAATTTGAATACAAATGTTTGTTACTTGTGTAATCAATGCTGATCGAGAGATGGTGGAGTAATTGTGAATAGTGAGTGTAGAGAATCATCGTTTAACTGAAACTGTTTGTATAATATGATTCTTAACCAAGGATAGGACCTCAACATTCGTTCGCTGATTATCATTTGGAATGTGTACTCATTTGTTATCCTTATTCTATAAAAAATATTTTTTTAAATGGCAACTTTTGAAAACGATTTGCTTAAAAAAACTAAAAAAAATTTTTACTCATAAATACTTTTAATAATATAATCGTTGTTATTTCGAAATATAAGTTCTGTCGAAGAAGGTAAGCTTTAATAAAACATAATATTACTGCAGTCCAATTTCATCGGAAGCAATTATTAACGGTGTTAAGGGTTACATCAATTCTCTTTGTTCCAAACCTTCTTGTATTCAATTCGCTAGTTGAATATTCATATTAGCTGAGACTCCTGAAGGAGGATGCTTTCCGAATGTCCCTCCCCCACCCGCTCTCTCCCCGCGGAAACCAATTAATAGAGGTACGCTTCGTTAGGCAACCCCGAGACGACTTGACCCTTGTATTTGATAATCTCTCAGAGCATCTGCAGAGCCTCGGTACATATACTATGAAAACCTGACAAAACAAAACTTTGAATTTCACAGTCGGTTACTAGGACTTATAGGCTAAATATTATTACACTCTCTGTATTTGAGCATATTTTAAAAATTGTCATTTTGTTGTTTAAAATCCGAAAGAGTCGTAGCTCAAGGCCTAAACGCTCGCTGTAAATATCACAGTACGCGATCAACTCCGTTTCGATTCCCGAGGGCACCAATGAAATTGTTAATTACAAATGCCGAGCACGTATATATATATATATATATATACGTGCTCGGCGGTGAAAAAAATATCGCGAGGAAACCTGCATATCTGAGTATGATAAAAAATATTTCGAAGATATATGAAGTTAGCTAAAACACATATTGACACATAAAATCCTCCTGTGCTCCAGCATTGGGATGTTTGTTATGATTAGGCTGTAACTTTAACTTTTTATTTAAATTCGACGATTTCTATAACATGAAAATACATTCGTATATATTCATACATTTACGTCTTGTCTATGTAATTATTATTATTATTCGATATATAATATGATAGAAATGTCGCAAATGTAATCGATAAGGTGGTAGGATAGCATTTCTGCTTTTGTAGTCTGCCTCTTACATATTTCTGTCACCAAATAGCTGCGCTTGCACTGATGTTAACTTTATAAAACGCAAGTTCGGCCTCACATAGTATCCTGTTCTCATCTCTGGGTCGTGACACCCCAGTGCCAGCTCTTTCCACTCGATCGCAATCAGCGCAGAGCGGTTCGAATCGTCGACGACCGAGTTCTTTTTGATCGGCTCGATTCACTGGCGCTGCGTAGGGATGTTGCATCCCTTTGCGTTTTCTGTCGCATCTGCCATGGGGAGTGTTCTGAGGGATTGTTCGGATTAGTTCCAGCCGCCAAATTGCACGAACGCACATCGCGTCAAAACTCCCGATACCATCCTCACCACCTGGATGCTTGGCGGTCCACTACTGTACGTTTAACTAGGATTTTTCTTCGTCGTACAACTTCTCTGTGGAATCATTTACCACCGGCGACTTTTCCGCACCGATACGACTTAGGGACCTTCAAGAAAAGAGCTTACTCCTTTCTAAAAGGCCGACAACTCATCTGCAATTCCCCTGTTGCGGTTGGCTGGTTGCTGGTCTTGCGGTGGGCCTAGTCACTTACCATTAGGTGAGCTGCATTCTCGTTTGCCCCCTCTTCTATAAAAAAAAAAAAATGTATTTCGGTCTGAACGATATAGGGTGTAAATCTTCCAACTTAATCCTCAGAGGTGACAAAGCATCTTTAATCCATTTTTGTTTATAGTTGGTTGCAGGTTTCCATGGCCACTTACTATTAGGTGGACTGTATATTAGTTGGTCGGTTTAGTTTTATCTAAAATATCTCTATAATATGAACATAATACCAAGGTAATTTGATGGTCTCAGAACGAAATATGACTAGACTTTGGTTATCTATAATAAACAAGACCTAAGAAGTAAAACTGGAGATACTACTATACCCATTTAATTAATTTTTAAACAAATATTATACAAAATTTTATATCTGTAATGTTGAATTTATGTTTATCATTTACTGGACTGGCAAAGTAAACAAAATTTTGTTAATTTACATTATATTTTGGAATGTTAAAAAGAATGTAAAATAGTGGAACGATGGTAGTAAGTTAACCGGGTGTCGCTAGTGCGGCACGGCAGCAACCATCAATTATTACCGCCTGTAATGAACGCAAATCCTTTGATTCCATTGAACGAGTGCCCGAGGGAATCTGTGGTACGAGTAACAAGAGATAGCGGCACTATTGCCTTCTGCTTCTAGTTTGTCTAGTTATTATAATATACATTTAAATCATAGAAACAACTAATAGTAAGTAGTTATTTCAAATATACTAAATTATTAAATTAATAAATACATGAAATTGGTAAACAGCTATATACATATTAATAAATAATTTCGTAATATTTTTTTTTTTTTATATATATATATATATATATATATATATATATATATATATATATATTACGTAATATATCGGGCTATATTGTACTTCAGGTTATTTATTTAATATAAATAAATATCATAATATTGTTTTATTTATTCATACTTCCTTATTTTTTTGTAACAACCTCTTATAATATACCAAATATTACGGAATAAATTAGCGACAGCGCAAGTTTTGAAATTCTAGATTTTATTTTATAATTTAGGAAACAAACTACATATTTATAACGTTAATGCACTGCTCTTTAACTTAAACTTCAAGAAAGCATGGACGACACTATAGCATGAATATTCCTTATAAATAATACACCGCTGTCGCTTATGGCACGGAACAGATGCCGTGTCGGCATCGAGTATGCACTGAGGGAATGGCGGAGTAGCGCGACACCTACGCCCGCGTTCATTTCATTGTCTCCAATCTCTGCCGCAGCTCCGATGCGATATAGTTTGGAATTTTGCTGCAGAGTGCTATCAGGCACGTTCGTATTGTAAAATAGTTTCTTGTATGGTTTTCCACATTTTTTGGGTTCAGTACCTCAAAATAAAATAATACGGAACCTAAATTATTTAAACTCTTCTTATCATCTTACGAATAATCTTCAATATTCTTTATTCTAGTCGCGACCGAGATCCCCGTTGCAAAATAGTCGTGGAATTCATATATCAAAAAACAATAGTAGCTACAAAAATGGTTTAACTCTCAACACTTTAATTCTTCTTTTACTGTGCTGTCCATATTGATTTAACATGTCGTTCCCGTTGACATCAAGAAAGCTACTAATAAGAACTATATTAAAAGATTTTTTTAATAGTATAAGAATGTCAAACGAGAACATAGTCCATCTGATGGTAAGTAGTTGCTTTGGCCCATAGACATCTACATCTATCCTCGACTACGAATCAAAATGCAGACCCGTGAGGACTGAGTTTGAAAGCCTCGTTTCCGGTGAATTATTGTATTTGACTTATTGTATAATGGATGAATTTTTGCAATATATTTTATTTATTTTCATAATGTATCTTATTTGTTACTCACAGTATCATAGTTTTCAATCTCAACCAGGGTTGACTGGTAGAGAATGCCATAAAGCATTAGTATGTCATTTTATACGGTGTTTATAACAAAGGTCAAATAAATTTAATAAATATAACAATCTGGAAAATTTTAAAAGTTTTTCAGATTAGATGACAGATTAAGTTAAGCAATTATGATTTTGGTTGTAACTGGACTGGTTAAATTAAATTAAAAATCTTAAAGTATATTATAATACAATATCATTAAAATGTAGAAATGTAAAATAAAAATAAATCCATTACTTAAATTATTCCATGATGAAAGTGTATTAAACCTCCCGATCTTGATGTCAACTTAAAGCGCCATAAATAAACAGAAGTTTCGGATAATTCGATTGTCTAAGTGAGTTTTATACAAAGTAGTAAATAAAATAAGCGAGTCGGCTCCAATCGTCGTCGCCGGTTGGCTGGTCGCAAACGATATTTGCGTAGATCAAAGTGCTTCGTGACGGCTCTTGCTTGATCAATATCAGTATGATAAAAACTTTCATTTTGTGCACGTAAAGTTTTTCCTCTGTGTTATATTTTATAAATTATATATCATCAATGTTTCTTCAAATTATACATCACCTGAGCGTCGCGTTGCCACTTTAAAATGATATGAAATATTTAACAGATTGACGAGGAGGTTAATTTGTTAGAAATGTGTAGAGATTCGTGGTTCTTTCTAGAATATTAATTATATGTTATATTAATAAGATTGGAAATGGATACCTGCGTGACAAATAAGTTCACTTACCAACTAGTGACATCTGACGAGTGTAAAATTATTGTCTATAGAAGTTATTTAATTCTCTATATCAGTTTTTGGAAGCTTCATTAGAACCTTTAAGTGCCAAGAAACTTGTGTTCGCTCCAAAGGGTATATAGAGTCATTAAAACTACAGGATATGAAGGATGTAAAGTACATCAGTGCTCGGAGGTGACAAGCGCCTCTGGAACCTTCTTTATTTTAAGTTGGTTACAGGCACCCGTGGATTGCAATAACCACGTACCATCAGGTGGACTGTAAGTACGTTTTAAGCAGTAAACATTTCAAATGCCATGGAATATTTAACATTGTCTGTTTGTTGGCAGCAGTTCAGGCGCGTTCCGTTCGTCGCCGGGCAGCGCCGACCAGCCCCCCGCGCCTCCGTTGTTTCTTCCCCCGCATCTTTCGCATCTCTCACAGCACCTCAACCATCTGTCGCAGCCATTCTTCCCGTTAAAAGGTAGGTGATGAATTGCCAAATTTAAAAATGTTGGTGTAGTGTTAAAAGTAATAATATACGTAGAATGATATTTCTTAATGACTAGCATCGTTAAATCATCATTCATGCTTACTAGGCCTCTGCCATAGATTACCTCCTCTCTATTTGCGATATTTGCCACGCTTGGTAAGAGATTTGGCAAGCACAGTTTTTTTATTATACACAACAACTTCAACTATTATCACGAAAGTTGCTGCTTCCCATCTCCTGCAGGCAGTGGGTTTTCTAAAGCGGTCATTACTCGGCGAATTTTCTTAATGGGTTTTATCAAATCAACTGTTCATCAAAATTGAAGGAACTCTCTATATTCATTACTTTATTATTATTTTTAATGATGGAATAATATATCATAATACATTATTGAAGGATGTAAAATACTCAGATCAGCGATGAGGAACAGCGTCAACATCTTGATATGGTCGATATTCCGCCCGCCAAGTGTGATGAATATGGGAAATCCTTTTCACAGTAGAAGAGGCTAATGTCCAGGAGTCCACTGCTACACATTGATCAAGAAAAATTAGAAAAATCTTATGTTTTATAAAGAGAATAACTGATATGTGTTCAGATTTTTCTTATATGTTAGTGTGGTACATTATCAAGCAACTAGGATTCCAACCGAAGGTACGCAAAGTAGCAAAGTACCTCTGAGTCAAGCAGTTTTCGTATTATTTAAAAATTACACAGTTAACATACCTAGTTACGTTTTAAGAAAAATAATTCAACAAGTTCACGCTACGAATTATTCGTAGCGCCTCTACGCTTCTATGTGAAACTTTTAAATTAGGCCTATTTAAAAATTTAATTTTAAATATACGTGGCATATTACTGATTTCTATTCATAAAAAGACTGCTATGTTTTTTATAGATATGTATTATTGAAAAAATTCTTTTTAAATAAAATTTTAATATAATTTTTTCATATTTGGTCAACGAATAAATGCCATGGCGGCGGCGCAAGATCGATCCGATCCGATTTAACCTTGTGAATGTCGTAAGAGGCACTATGGGATGTACCAAAAACATCCAATGACTTCCTATCGGAATTTCGTATACCATATCGTTTATACCAAACGTAACATATCCAGACCGGCGACGGGCAGAAGTATGAAAGACTGTGGTGAACCATTCTAGATTAAAGGGAGTATTAGTAATATTAATTGAGTTGTCTAGTACTACGATCGTTATCTACCTGCTAAGTGTAGCGATTAAGGCAAACCCTCGCTGCAACGGGAGTAGGTTTACCAGATCGGAAGACCAAAATATCTGGACAAATTGTGGAATATCGGGGTTTTGGGGTTGTTGTAGGGCGAAATAAATATTAAAAAATATAGAGTTTGTTTTTATATTTTATATATTTTATTTTTAAATTGAGGGGCTACAAAAAGACTTAACATTGTTGATACATAACTAATCTGAAGTTCACTTGATTTTTAGGTTGCCACATCCATTTGGGAATAAAATTTACTAGAGACCACCAATTTGGATCCTTTAGTAGTATTGAGAAAAGATTTAAAATTCAAACAATTTATTTCATAGTTTAGTCTAATAACTTTTTTATTAAATCAAAGGTTATTAGACTAAACATTAACTTTCCGAGAAGTTGTTTGAATGAAATTTTGAGTTTTGTCGTGAGTTTGGAGATCATTTAAAATGTCGGGGAATCCAGACGAATCCCGACCATCTGACAACCGGGAGATGCTTGTTAAGAACAGTGGACTTTAACGGTTTGATGATAATGAAGAAGGAGCATATTCTTTAACTCTTCCATATACGTTTACCTATATTTGTTATTATATAGAAATTATTACAACGTAGAAACAATAAATAAGAATTGAATGACAAAGCAAATTTATGCTGCAGCAGTGAGTGGCAGAGTTGGCAAGAGATGCCCTAAACAAAAGTTTGTCGATCCGATTGCTGATTAATCGAACATGGGCCAAATTAAGGGTTAATTAAGGGTAACCGACTACATGTCTAGGTATATTGATGTGCAAGAAATACGCCTATCTCGCTTCTTTCGTCAGAATTGTGACACTTACGTGGTAAAGCCTCGCTGCAGCTATAGTATAGTTGTCGCACGAATGGATCGGCTCTCGGACCGAACCACGCTCTCACAGAATACAAGCGTCAAATAGCAGCGTAATGCTGCTGTGTTTCGTATGGTGAGTGTAGAGAACCGAAGACCCGAGGCATTCCATATTAGTCCTCAGGGGTGACAACGCATTTGAATTTGGATTCTTAATTGAGGATAAACGTAATTACAACATCTGCGAATTCACCGCCGTCGCAGAACGTAAATACGACACGCGGTAATCGTAATAGTAGTCATATTTCACCGATGATTGCGACTCCGTCACGCGGTACCGTCTGTCAGCGGGTTGATGACCGTGAAACTAGGGCGACCTCAGTCGTCATTGCATCACCACCTCAGCCCTTGACTGAACCCTTGAGTACTCCTCCGCCGAAGCCAACCTGTCAACAAGGGAAGACGTTTGCGGATGTTGCTCGAAAATCTTCACAACCGGTACCTTCTTGTGGTCGAAAACAAAATAATGGGGATGTAATATCAGTTCCTGTGGTGACCCGAAACAAGAGAGATAATGACGGGTTTATTCTTGTTGAGAAGAGACGTCGGTCGAGACCCGTCTGTAACCAGCGTGGGACCGCCAAAATAAACGCAAGCACAACTCTGCGTATTATGGAGCCTACCATACAGCTCTACATCTCCCGTTTGGACAAAAGTACGTCGGGAGAAGACGTCCTGCGTTTCGTGGAAGAAGGAAACCGATGCCGCATAGAGGATCCGATCTCTTTACATTTGCAGCGTCTGGAGTCTAATACGTCAACGAACTTCAAATCCTACGTACTCCAAGTCCCTGCAAAATACAAAGAGACATTCCTTGCTCCCGATTTCTGGCCCTATGGGGTATTGTTTCGCCGATTCAGGGACGCGCCAAAGAAAAAAGTTCCCTAAATAGTGTTATATTTATATTTTATATATATTTTTAGGTTAAGGTATATATTGCTATGGGCCAATGTTCTTAATTTTTAAGTCCTTGATGCCTGAAATAAAGTTATTGTATTGTATTGTATTGTATAAACGTAATTATCTATGGGCCACAGCATCCACTTACCATCAGGTGGACTGTGTGCTCGTTTGTCACCCAATGCTACATTTAAAAAATGGAATTCCTGTAGCCTTTGACTTCCGGGTAACAGGCGTGATAGTTTATGGATATTTATGTATAAGAACATTTTCTTTTCTACAGGCTGGGGCGCGCCTTGCCCCTGCTGTCCCAAAGAAGAAGCCCGCTCATCAAGCGTGGCAGAATTACGACGTAAAGCCCATGAGCACTCGGCGGCTCTACTCCACTCGCTAGCGAGCTTCCAGTCGCGTGCACTGCTACCGCTGCCACTGCCACTGCCGCCGCTGCCGCTGTCGCTGCTACCACACGACGCCAGCGCGAACTCCAACAACTCTTCTGAACCGCACAAACATATGGAGTAAGGACAATATTAGACTAAAAGGCAATCTATTATATTGGGAGGAAGTTAAATATAAAAATTTTCTTACATTGCTGTGTACGTAATATGTAATATGCAAGTGTTACCAGTTTCATACGTTAACATTTAATATCTAAGCGACGATAAACACTACTTTTTATTAAAATGCAATGTCAAATAGTTGAAAAAAATGCATTTGTAAAATTATGTACAGCCTTCGTAACGCATGTAAATCTTGTTACAAAAATAGTTTTGATTTATTTGCATGTTATGTAAATGGCTGAACCTCAAGAGAACGTCTTTATTAAAAAGTATGGCCAACCCTATTGTAACAGGCACAAAGAAAATAAGTTATCCATTCCTTCATTCAAATCAAATTTAAATAAAGAGATATTTTCTACCAGTCAAATCTTAGAAACGAAGAAAAATGTTGTCAGGTACATCACTAATAGCCGCTAATGAGTCAATGGTGATAATATAATGCTATCAGTAATTAGTAATCTCCGCGGGATCATTTACAATATTAACTTGGGTATCCCAAGGGAGTACGGCTTGCGTCATGACATTGTTATACAGAAATAACACTGCCTTATGTTTCATGTTAATTATGAATTGAATGGCGAACATTAAAGTTTTTAAATAATTATAAAATATTAAAATACATTAAATAAAAAAAGCATATTTTTCAATAACTGCGTCGTATAAATGCACAATCTACTAGTCGTATAGATACATACCTGTCGCAGCTAATAAATTTTATGAATATCTAATATGTAAAAATTTATGCTGGTTCGTATTTTATGCGCTGCCATACCGTTCTTCAGATTGTGCTAAAACTTTGTCAATATATTTCTTGAACTCGCGCGAAGGTTATAGGCATAGTACAATTAACTTACAGTGGTGGCGCGCGTATTGTACCGACAAATTTATTTGATAGTCATATATCGTTCCATTTCAATGTATGTATTATGCATAATCAAACAATATAACTCTTCCAAATTTAAAACGTCGTAAACGTCGAAATTTTTTCTTCTGCGTCTGCAATGCTCCGGGTACCAGCGAGTAATAATATAAAATCCACCTGATTAGCACCCACTATTGTCATTTGACATATTTTATTATCATTGTGATTTAATACATAATAACTTGTCCCTTGTAATTAAGTCTATAGTTTTCGTACGGTCTTGCACAACAGTGAAGTTTCTATTAATAATTCTGCCAGAGAGTGATCCTTTCCTGAATTGGCATAAATTGATTCAATCTGAATCCGTAACGTTTTTTAAATCCAAATATTAATTAGTATTTATTGCTGTTAATTGATTGGCAGTAAAATAATTGAATTGAGTTGTTAGATTACTATTTGTCAATTCAATTCACTCAATTTCACGTTTCTTTAGATTTGCATCGATGATTTGAAAAAATTAATGATTGATTATAGTCTTTACATGACTTTATAAGCTCTAATTTTAACTCTTATAAATACCAGTGTAAAAAATCTAAACAATTAAAATACAATTTTTTTGGTTGATCGTAATATGATACACTTAATACGCATGTGAAAAAAATTGCTATGCATTGAGTCCAATACTACCATGATATTAATATCTTTTGTTTCATATGAGAGCAGATTCTTCAAAAATCGTAAGTAACCGTCGAATATTGAAGGAATATAGAAGAAAAACATACAAAGACAAAACGTTAAATGGTGGAGCGTAACTGTTTTTATGAAAATAATTCTGATTGTGCATCAAGATAATTAAGATTTGTGCTGTTATAATTTTTTTTTGTAAAAGGCTTAATTGATCAAATTTTAATTCGTATGTGCCATTCGTTGCATCCGAACAATATCGTGTGCCATATTATATAAATAAGTTTATCGAATTTTAGTTTTAAGCAAAATTGTAAATAGCCAGTGAGGATCTAAAGTTATTGTAATTTGTATTGCAATTTTAAAATTAATGCTTTCCCAGTGATAACGAAATCTAGATAACTATATGTCGAATAGGTGTCAGAAGTTTACCAAAAATAAAAATTAATAACTTGGAGATTTGGAGCTATCAGTTTTATCACACAAAAAGGCAACATTATTTTTATTTATTTCATAAATTAAATTCTTTATTCAAGGGATTCTATAAAGATATTTTGGTTTGTTCGATAAAAAGGCAAAAAACTATTGAAAGTACGGTTAATTAAGACTTTAAATCTGTAATGTTAAGCATGTTTTATAATTTGAAAAACATTCTATTATTTTTAGGCCGTTATTTTTTTTTAAATCTGTTAGTTCGGCAGCTATGCAGGAAATATTCAACATGAGCTAATGTCGAGCGTATATTAAACTATAGAGACTTCTTCATTATTCGACGCTACGAGATAGCAACCATTATGACGCGTTTGTCTCGCAAGTTCAAATTCGTGTTGCATCTTCATTTTCCGTACAACATCTGATGTGTATTTTGTTTTATTAATACAAATTTGTTTCTAATAATTCCTTTTATTGTATGTAATATCTAATAAGTAAGTTATCATCAGCTTTGTCATGTGAGGACTATATTGTCTCAAATAACAAACCAGGGGTCACATGATCGCTAGTCACGTTGAATAATATCGACAAACAGTGAGATATGTATAGTTGCAACAGTGTACTGTTAAAATTTGTATTTACGTTATTGAAGTAAAAAAGTTAAAGTTACAGCCAATATAAATCCCACGTTAGACACAGGCCTCCTCTCATTTCTGAAAGGGTTTTAGGGCAAGGAAGTGTCCGCCGCACCGCCCCAATGCGTGTTGGCGAACTTCACACGGCTTCGAAATATTTTTTTTCTTATTTCTCAGAGATGTAGGTTTCCTCAAGATGTTTCCCTTCATCCGTTTGGTGCCGGCGGGGACCGAACCCGGGTTGCTTGCGTACCGTGAAAATTACAGCGAACGCTAACATCTCAGCTGCCTCAGCTCTCTATTTGCGTTATTATTATTTTACAATATTTTAATGAAGTTTTATACATTTAATTGTATTTCTTTATAGGGTACAATAGTACTTTTTTAATCTCACTTTTAAAATGTGTTTTATACATTAATTGTGATTTACACGACCAATTTTAATAACTATGTTATACGCAGTATATACCTAAAGCACAAAGAGGCTGATAATTAATATATTTTTATCAGTTCATACAGACTCATGTCCAAACGCTGTTTTTATTTCAAGAAATGTCCCTTGTGAAACGTAATATTAGGCTTCGTGTAACTGTTTATTTTTATTTTTATGATTAAAAATATTCCTATGTGTGCCAATGAAGTTTCTCGTTTGCGGTAAAATATAATTTTACCATTATTAAATGTGTAAATAGCATATAGAATTACCTGTGCAGTATTCGACCAAAATGTTGTGAATATTCTTTTTAAATCGTAGATAGATTTTAGATGAAAATATATGTAAATAGTATACTGTGTTTATGAATTTGTCATAGTTCAATGTTCGTATTTCGTGCTAGAATAAAACCATTAATGTAAATATGGAATAAATATAAAAAAAAACATTTAATGCATCAAATACACTTTTAATGTTTTAAAATAATTATTCGCAAAGCATTCCTTTTGTAAGTTTTTAATTGTTGTGTTCTAAATTAAATTGTCTGTGTGTATTATTTAATTTATAACTCGCAATGTTACGAATCGTTACGAACCGTTGCACATAAAACAAAATTTATAGTTTTTATTCCATTTATTACAAACTTTTATTACAAAATTTCGAAGGACCTTTAAAATTTTAGGGTTTTATTAACTTGCAACTTTTACGAAAATTCTTTCCGCAAAATATTTATTTTATATTATAAATATAAAATGTTTAAAATATTCCTCCTTCTTTGGTAAATGGAAATATTTTACTTTAAACAAACTGTATTTAAATGCGGTAGCACCCGCGCCAAGTTTGTATATAATTCGAATGAAAGGGGTATATAAATAACTGCACTATGCACGAGATGTGGAATTGCTGGCGCGGGTACTTGTAAAATATTATAAATATGTACGACATAGATGATTACATTATGTATGTAGACACACGAATAGTTGTTTTAATTATTACGAAATACAATACTTATATTAAATACACTAAGTAGTTTTATTTATAAAAAAACTGGTTATCTACTATCACCTTACGAAACAAGGCAACATTATGCTGGCATTTCACGATGGTCATCTGTGAGAGCGTAGACAGAGAAACCTATAGACGACGCCTTCTTTCGCATACGCACACGAAAAAGATAGATTTATGCAAACGTCTTGCATAGAAATGACACAGAGCGGTGTGATTGTTTGTCCCTTTCTCCGTGCCGGTTTTTTTGTTTAGGAAACTACACTTTGATAAACAACTTTGACAGTTCGTAGCGATCTAAGGCATTTACAAGTTGGTTTAAGTGAGAAAAAAGTGTCTTGTTCAGTTCAGTTTTTAGAACAATTAAAAATTTTATCTAAATATGTTTAAAAGTCATAAAGATTATTGTATAACCTAAAATTACGTTATCGTCTTTCTCACTCTAGGCCACGCTAATCATTAGCCTATAGGTTTCTCTGTCTACGTGTGAGAGCATGGTTTTTTTCTTATAGAATAGGGTTGTCAAAGGAGCACACATTCCAACTGATGATAAGTGGTTGCTGTGGCACATAGACATGCACATTTATCATCGACTAAGAATCAAAATGCGGATGCGTTGTCAACCGTGAGGACTAAGATGGAATGCCTCATTTCCAGTAAAAAAGGGTTATATACACTCACCATACGAAACACAGTAGCGATTTTACGCTGGTATTCTATGAGAGGTTCTTTCTCGAATAAGCTAACCAATTAATTCAAATTTATCCATGTTTCAAAATGTATGGAGTCTGGGTAAGGTCTTTGTGCACTACAATAAAAATAGGTAATTTCACATAGAGGTGTTTTACAATCTTCAATTTTTAATATGGCTTTTCTGGTTTTAAACAAGAATTTACATTTAGAGTTACAAA